CCCCAAAACCCCAAAACCCCAAAACCCCAAAACCCCTTTTTTTCTAAGATTTGTTGAACAATTCTCACTATTCCACATTATAGTCCAAGTTGAGCCTTATACCTTGCAACTTTCTCAGCCATTGTTTGACCCTCTTCAGCCAACTTTTCAATGTTCGGATCGTGTCTCCTCTCCTCACATTCTTGCTGTCTCCTTCTCTTCTCCTCTGCAAGCTGGCCGCTCAAGAAGTGAGAGTAACTCTGCTTGGCCTCCCTCTGTGCCTCCTTCTCGAAGTGAGCCATCTTCTCGTCCAGATATGCAGCTCTGGCTGCTTCTTTCTGGCTCTGGGCCTTGTCTCTGTGCAGCTGAGCGGCCTTCTGCTTCTGAGTCTCTGCATACTGTGTCTTCATCAGCTTCTGCAGGTCGAGCTTGCGCTCCAGGTGCTGACTCATCGCCTCGCTATGCAGCTGCTCGAGCTGCTCAGCAGTGGCTAGCGAAGGAGGAGGCTGGATGGCGGCTTCTCTGTCCTGTTTCTTCCTGAGGGCCTCCAGCTGCCTCTGCTGTTGCTGGAAGCTACCAGTTTGCTTGTGGGCCTCCTTCATGGCTGGGTCTCTAGCGTAGCACTCGAACACGAGTCCATTGGAGCTGGCTTCTTCGTGGCGGATTTTGTGGAAGTCTTGCGAGGCTTTGTGCTGTCTGGCTCTTGCGAGAGCGTGCAACTCGTCTCTGTACTCAGATGTCTGTCTGAGTTTCTCTTGCTGACTGGCTTCAGTGAGCTGAGCAATTTCACTCTGGAGCTGTTCTGTCTCAAGCTTGTTGGTGGCGTCAGCCTTGGCTGCTTCCCAGGCAGCAGCTTTGGCTTGACTGATCGAAGCCAGAGTCGAGTTCATTTCTTGGTTTCTGTCAGCTTTGGTCCTCCTGCGATGTTCTTTGTCTTGCTGTTCGAGTCGCTGAAGTTTGTCAAGGTGAGCTCGTTCTTGTGATATCGTGTTTCTCTTCGAACTCTGAGCAGACTGAACTTTGGCTCTGTGTTGACGCAGCTGATCATTGGCTACACTTTGAGTGAAAGATTTGAGTTCGTGGTTTCTGGCTTCGGCTTCGGCTCTCAACTCAGCCAGTTCTTTGTCAGTGTAAAATACTTCAGGAGGACAACTTATGTCATGCTTTTCTCTTTGCTTTCTACAGTTGGCTTCGCTGATCTGGTCTTTCTGGTAACGACCTGTCTCTTTGGTCTGATCTTTCATTGCTGGGTCTCTCTGATAGCATTCGAAGACCAACCCAGGCAGCTTCTTGGCTAGCTCTCTGTCCCCTGCTTTCTGCTGTAATGCTGCTCTGGTGGCTTGTTCTTTCTCTTTGCTGAGTTCTTGTCTGTATTGCTGCTGAGTGCTGACTCTGTCTTGCAAGCTCTTGAAACTGAGTTCTTGAATTTCATGACCAAGCTGCTGAGTCTGCTGGAGATTGGTGGTGTCGCTCTTCTTGGCCTCCCAGTCTGCTCTCTTGCGAGCGTTGATCTGACTGAGAGTCTGGTTCATTTCTCTGTTGACGGCGTCTCTTTCAGCTTTCTTCCTGGCAATTTCGGCAGCCTCTTGGGCTTTTGCAAGTCTGGCTGTTTCTTGTTCAGCAAGCTTGAAAGCTTCTTTGTCAAGTTGAGACTGAGTTTTGCGATGTCTGATTGCGGTTTGGTTATCCCAGTTGCTGGATGCAGCCCCACCAATCTTAGGGACTTCTTTGACTGGGCCAACTGCATAATTGGACCCAGCTGGAGCAATGTGAGCTTCTTTGTAAGCATTTACATCCCAAGGCTGAGCTGATTTTCCAGAGGCTCCACCTGTTGATTCAAAGGTGTTTTGAGTCCTAGAGTAATGATAGGAAAGATTAATTAAAGATGATTGCTTGTAATTGTCAAGAACTGGAATTACTTTTTTAATCTTGAGGAAAATAATGTGAATCATATTTAGAAGTAGTAAATTAAAATAAACTGATTGATACATCAGCTGTCATAATATAATCTTCTATTTGATCTATTTTTCTTTCGTTGAAATCTTTATAATTTCAGAAAAGTACTAGCTCAGGATTCTTTTTATGCGAAGATATGTAAAAATTCTTACTTTTTACTTATTCCGTTGTTTCCAGCTGATGTGAGACCTCTTGAACCTGTATTCCCTTTTGAACTCAGAGGAGCAGCATAATCAGCATGGCCAAATGCATTGGAAGAGAAAGTAGGAGTGTACCTAACCGAAGCCTTCTCTTGAGTCTGAGGTCTCAACTGTGATACATGAGCTCCTGCACCAGCAGCAGCATAAGATGCAGCTTGTGTTGGCTTTTCTACAGATGTAGTCACACCTCCAAAGATGGAAGAAATTCCTGGAGAAGCTATTGAGTTGGATACACCTCTTGATCCATGTCCTATAGAGTAACCTGGTTGTCTTACCCAAAGTATTGCCAAACATATCTAGTTAAAATTATTTTTATTCGTCAATGAATTGGTTTATTTTAGGGGTTTTGGGGTTTTGGGGTTTTGGGGTTTTGGGGTTTTGGGG